AATGTTTTTATCTAATAATTCTACTGTAAGTAATCCATATTTAAGTTAAAATGAAAAAAACAGTTTTATGTAAAAAGATGTGTGTTGACATTTATTTTTAACGATGATAAAAGTAAAAATTTCCCAGAGTATAATGACTTAATGGCAAACAAATCAGTGAAATATTATGCAACCATTAAAATCATATTTACAAAAGGCTTTTACTAATACGGAGAATTCATGTTATGATGATCAGAAAAAAGAACATACAAATATATATATATTTGCAAAATATGCCTACAAAGGAAACTGAAGACACTATTATTACTGGAATCTTATCAGTAATTAAACTGATGGAATTATGAGTAATAATAAACTCTTGTTTCTGCTTCTATGCATTTTGAAGATTTCAAAAATGATCATTTTATTCTGTAAAAGATTAAAAAATGCATTTTTAAAAAGAAGGTTGAAAATCAGTGCATTTGTTGCACTAATGTGGTATTTTGTCTAATGCTTTTTCTTGAAATCAGAGAAACTGGCTATATCCAATTTGTGGATTATGCTAGCCAACCTTTTTTGCATTCATTTCCTATAAGTATTGAACCAGAATGATGATACACCATCTTTGGGCTAACTATCTTCAATCCTTCTTTCCTAAGAGCACCCTGACGTCCCGTTAGGGTCATTTCTAATTGTGTATAGAGTGGGTGAGTTAGGACCCCCTTCCCATTCCTTCTCTATGTTATCCATAAGCTGAGGTTTGGAATCTTGGCATCGTGGCTCTAGAATGCATGTCAAGGGGAGATCATTTGATTTCCAGTGGGCCAGATATTTCCTGCTCTAAAAGAATTGCCGTGTTTCCTCCTCATACTTTGGAGCTCTTTTTATGCCAGCTCATTTGTAAACCTAGTTCTCAAGCCTTCCATCAGGTGTGATCTGCTTCTTATCTTTCCAGAAAATTCTTTAACACTGAATTTATTCAGAATCAGTTCCCATTGCTTTTCAGTCCAGAACCCTGACTAATACACACACTGACAACCATTCTACATCCATGAGTATTAGCACATGCTTTCCTTTAGCTCCATAAAGGTTAGCAAAGGGGTATTTTTGATACCAAGTGAAATCAAAAGTAAAGGCTAACTGCTGTAACATAACACTTCACCTAGAAGGACATAGTAAAAACACCACTGGCCATGATATATCAATTCAAAGCTAAAAGTTTTTTAATGTCGTAACACATTTGGGCTCTAGTATGATTTGAAAATTAATTCTCTTAACAGCCACAAATGGTTGGACATAGAGCAAATGTCATTTTCCAATTCAAAGCAGAAGACTGCAGTACATTGTAGAATCCTTGATTATGTTATGCTCTTGAAATTTCACAGCATCTTAGACACCGGAACTTCTTTTTTTTTTGGTTATTACTCTGGCTGTTCTTCAAGACCTTTTGCTGGGAAGGACACAGTCTTTGGCCAGTTTAAGCTCCTCTCAGTGTTCTGAAGATAACCTGCTAATGCCCCAATTCCTTTGTAATTAAAATCTTTCTGAAGTGGCGTATTGGATTTGTAATAACTCTCTCATGACGGTGAAGCCAAGCAGAAGACCCAAGTCATCAGCCTCTTTTCTGGAGTCTTTTATGTAATAACATTCCCCAGGAAAGATACTCAGATCCTTAAAGCAGCTTTAACTCAATGAGGCAAATGTTCTCTTACAGGGTCCCGGAACCCAAGCAGCTTTTAAAATAGGAAGCTGACATAATTGGCTTTAAATTCTATCCTAAAGAGATATTTTGTCAGCTTTGGCACTATTTACTTAGCTCAGGGGTTAACCAGGATAACATGTTTGACTTGCAAATATATTTCTTCAAAGAATACAAACAAAGCCACCATCCCTTCAAAACTAGCGGTGGGCAGGAGGCTCCTGGTCGTGTGACAAGGCTAGGGGAACTTGTGTTTGCTTTTCTGTGTATGTACTATTAGCTCATCCCTCTCTCTCCATCCCTTCTCCCCTCCCAGTTTACCTGGGGTGAGAACGGCTGGAGCTACTGCCAGGTGTCCTGAAGAGGTTACAACAGGAGGATGACACAGCAGTTTCAGGACTCCAGAAAACAAAGGGACTGAAATCTATGTAACTTTGCTAACAATTGTCACTCCAGTAAACTTTAATTAATAAAAGAAAGGAAGAAAGAAAGAAAGAAAGAAAGAAAGAAAGAAAGAAAGAAAGAAAGAAAGAAAGAAAGAAAGAAAGAAAGAAAGAAAGAAAGAAAACAAAGAGCCTATGCTTCATTTTTAGAGCACAGGTAATGCCCCTTGTATTGCCACTTATAATTTTGTCTGGTCCCACACCTGAAACCTCTCTTCTTTTTTTCTCCTCAGTCACATCAATTTTCTTCTCCACATCTTGGACAGTGTCTTGTCACCCCCTTCTAGCAGGTGAAGGCGCCATGACTGTACTTCAGTGG